GAGCACAGTTTGGAAGTAGTTTAGAAGAAAGTCATTCCCCAAAACGGGTTCCAGAAGTCGAAAATGTCAAATTGAAGTTTAAAATTATGTGTAGAGGACGTTTTAATATGAAAACAATAATAAAAACGTGATGGGAGTATATATCAAAATATGTTATTGGCGCCCAATGAGAGGCTGTATTCCACTTTGTGAACATTTCATTATATTGTCTTCATATGGACTCCTCATGGGTTGTAATAAGAAAATTGTACATTATAATATATTGAAGACTAAATTGGAAGCCGGATTTATTTAAAAAGTAGTTGGCGCCCAATGAGAGGCAAAATTCCATTTTGAGTACAGTAAAGTGGGTGGGCTTCATATGGGTTCCTCTGGTCTCTTTTATATTTCCAATTGAAATATTTTTTTTGTAATTTTCTGAAAAATATATTTTCAAATAGGAATGCCGAAAGTTAGATTTTGTTGTCCAATAGGAGGATGTATAGCATCTTTAGATGTCTTAGCATCTAAGTCTATGTGTAGAGTATTTTATTAAAATTTCCGAATACAATAAAATATGATTTTACACAAGAAGTCATTAAATAGTTTTTGATTTGTTGGAGATAAAGATGTCCTATTTTTATTGTTGGAAAATTTCGTTTCTGAAGCAGTAGGATCTGTTTTGATTGACTCCCATAAGGAACTAGTTTCTTCAGTTCCATCGTTCATTGATACTTTCGACCAATGAACGAAGAGCTCTAGATAAACGAAGGACCAAATGAAACTAGATGAACGAAACGACCGGACCGGCGATCGTTGCGAAGTAGATTCTTTAAACTAGTTTGTTCAAAAACTACCCGGTTCTAATTATAAAGTGTTGGCGCCCAACGAGGAAATATTTATTGCTTATATATAATTTAGATAATTCTATCATAGATATTTTTTTTGTGATGTATGCTCTTTATTACCGCATGAATTCTTAATAATTTACAGTTGGCGCCCAACATGGGGCACGCAGATATTTGATGAATACATTTATATAAACATTTGTGGACATAAAATATGAATAAATTTCCATTTTCGCCCCGCATAAATGGAAATTTATTCATATTTTAAGAAACTGAAGCAAATATTTAAATTGGCGCCCAATTTGGGTTTGTTTTAATTTGGAAGTAATTCAAAATACACATGAACATTCGGCTTAACTTGGAAAAATTCGCATAATTTGTAAAACTATTCTAGCAACATAAATATATGGTCAGAATAATGAGAAGTTAACTAGCAAATATTTAAAAATGGCGCCCAAATTTAGGCACCCGATTTGGGAAATAAAATATGTAATGAGGATTTTTATTTGCCGTATGTTAGAAGGAATCAAATGTAAGGCATCATTACTGAAGTTTTTTATATAATTTTTTCCCTGGATATATGCAAATATCTGAAAGTGGCGCCCAATGTGGGTCAGTAGTCATCTGTCTGATAATGACTACAAAAATTTCGAATTTATTGGATATATAAATAAAAAATGCATAAATGGCAGTTGGTGTCAATTGAATTAAAACCCATGCAATTGGCGCCCAACGTGGGCTCATAATTTGAAAACTCTTCTTTGCCCATAATTCTTTCGTAAAATCTTTACAAACATGTTTTAATACAATTAATTTAATAAAACCTGGTTTCCCCTTCCCATTTTTAAGATTGGCGCCCAACTAGAAATCACAATTCATTTTTTGAATTCCGATTTTGTTTCTCACTAACAAATTACCCCAATAAAAACAAACTTCCAATTGTTGTTATACAAATTAGATAGCATTTAATGAACTTCCGTTTATCATTTTAATGCTGCTGTCATTATCATAATTATCATAAGAGGCCAAAAAGCAGGCCCCTCCCATTAACTTCCAAATAAGAAAAAATCAGAAAAAAAAAAATCAGAAATTCCCACCAAACAAAAAGAAATGTTAGCAGCAGCTTCAAACATCATAAATCATAAAAGGCAAACAAACATTAAGGCAAATATTATTATAAAAAGAAATATGTGTAATCAAAGAAGTAAGAAAAGAAAGAAAAAATGAAGGAACAAACGAAAAAACATTGACCTTTTTTGGCATTCTTGGCTGGCAGCACATGGCCTGGCCCGGCTGGTCATAATTGCGAACTTTACCTTTTGTTTTAAGAGGCGTCAAGTCATTGGGCGCAAAACAAACAAAACAGCTGCATTGTTTTTTGGGTTTTTTCTTCTTTCTCTCTCCCTCTGTCCCGTTTTTGGATGGTCTTTGGCCTCATTAGAAGCTTGAAGCCCAAACCCCCGACCCTTTCTATTTTCATGAAACTCATGAAGAAGGAATGTGGAGAGTCATGATTTTTGTAATCGACTAATTAATGTTTTATTTTCTGGAAGAGATTTTCCTGCTGGCCTGCCACCTCTACCGTCTCTCCCCATCTATTGTTGGTTGTTCGGGTTAGTGGCCATAATAGAATGTCAATTGCCAGCACGTTTTTATGATGTGGTGTTTCCTCTGTAAAGACACTTATGTTTTTTTTTTGGTTGATGTCCGGTAATGAACTTAATTTTAGCTGGAAATACAAATGACCCTTTCGCTGCTAACTCTCGACCGCTCTTTCTCTCCTTCCACCTAAAAGTAATTGAACCATGACACCTTATGTTGTTATAATTTTTGGTTTTTTTCTTTTTCAGGGTCTCCTTTTCCTACAGATCTGTTCAAGCCAATAATGTTTTTGTCAGTTATTGTAATGGCTTATTAGCGGGCTATAATAAAATGTTTGATTTATGACCTAATGGATTAAGTTCTTCGTACTCTCTTTGCACTTGTTACAAATTAGTTGGAAGGTAGAGTAGTTAGTTTTTTTTCGGATTCTTTGTAAATTGTCGTAGACCATTTCCCCTCCTCTTCACTGCTCACATTTGTTGACATAGTTTTCTTTGCCAAGTTTTTCATAAATGATAATTAACGTTGATTTATAAGAAAACGAAGAAAAAGTGGCTAAGGAGAATTTTTTTATTTATTGCCAACATTTTATTAAAATAATAGACAGTAATTTTCTTTTTGTTATAGACGTGACCTTTTATTAGGTATCACTTCAGCAAAGTTATTTAGGAAGACTTGAAGAACATTTTTTTACCCACTGATTTAGACTTTTTTTTATATAAAAAGCGGAATTCTGCGGAGCCTGAGGAGTATTTTCTGCAGAAAAAAGGCCTGAGTAATTATTTCTATGGCAAAAATACTCCTCACGGATCAACGAATTTTCTGCTATAGGAAAAAGACACCTCAGATGCCTGAGAATTTTTTTTTATAGAAGAAAGACAACTCAAAAACCCAAGGAATTTTTTCTATAGAAAAAAGACACCTCAGAAGCATGAGGATTTTTTATCTATAGAAAAAAGACACCTCAGAGGCCTGAGGAATTTTTTCTCTGAAAAAAAAGACACCTCAGCGGCCAGTGGAATTTTTTCTATAGAAAAAAGACAACTCAGAGGCCTGAGGATTTTTTTCTATAAAAAAGACACCTCAGAGGCCTAGAAAATTACTTTTTTTCATATAAAAAAGTGTCCACAGCGACCTGAGGAATTTTTTCTATAGAAAAAAGAGTCCTCAGCAACCTGAGAAATTTTTTTCTATAGAAAAAAGAGTCCTCAACAACCTGAGGAATTTTTTCTATAGAAAAAAGACACCTCAGGGGACCTGAGGAATTTTTTTTATAGAAAAAAGACACCTCAGCAACCTGAGGAATTTTTTTCTATAGAAAAAAGTGTCCTCAGAGGCCAGAGGAATTTTTTTGTATAGAAAAAAGACACCTCAGGGGCCTGAGGTTTTTTTCCTATAGAAAAACGACACCTCAGGGGCCTGAGGAATTTTTTTCTGTAGAAAAAAGACACCTCAGAGGCCTGAGGAATTTTTTTCTATAGAAAAAAGACACGTCAGGGGCCTGAGGATTTTTTTTCTATAGAAAAAAGACACCTCAGAGGCCTGAGGATTTTTTTTTCTATAGAAAAAAAAAGACACCTCAGAGGCCTGAGGAATTTTTTTCTATAGAAAGACACCTAAGGGGCCTGAGGAATTTTTTCCCATAGAAAAAAGACACCTCAGAGGCCTGAGGAATTTTTTTCTATAGAAAGAAGACACCTCAGATGCCCGAGGAATTTTTTTTCTATAGAAAAAAGGCACCTCAGATGCCTGAGGAATTTGTTTCTATAGAAAAAAGAGTCCTCTGCGACCTGAGGAATTTTTTTCTATAGAAAAAAGAGTCCTCAGCGACCTGAGGAATTTTTTTCTATAGAAAAAACAGTCCTCAGCGACCTGAGGAATTTTTTCTCATAGAAAAAAGACACCCTGAAAAAATTTTGTATAAGATAAGTCATCAGAATAATAAGTCTATAGATAAGTCTATGGAATAAGAAGTCCTCAGTAGTGTGAGGATTTTTTTAAGAAAAAAGAGTCCTACGAAGTTTTTTTTATAGAATAGAATAGAAAAAAAGACGCTTTATAGGCCTGAGAATATTTTTCTATGTTAAAAGGTCCTCAGTGGTCTGAGGAATTTTTTTCTATAGAAAAAAAGACACATCTGAGGCCTGAATATTTTTTTCTATAGAAAAAACATATCGGAGGCCTGAGGATTATTTTCTATAGAAAAAAGACACAAGAAAGAATTTTTTTTCTATAGAAAAAAGGGTCTTCAGGTGCTTGAGGTTTTTTTTTTTTTATAGAAAAACTGTCCTCAGGAGCCTGAGGAATTTTTTCTATAGGAAAAAGTGTCCTCAGGGGCCTGAGGAATGCTTTTCTATAGAAAAAAGACACCTCAGGGCCTGATGATTTTTTTCTATAGGAAAAAGATTATGAGGAATTATTTTCTTTAGAAAAAGACACAAGAAATGTCCTCAGAGGCTGAGGATTTTTTCTATAGAAAAAATCTTTTGATATTTTAGCTGTAAATTTTTTTCCTATACATTTTTTATTTTTTATATATATATAATTAATTGCTGTTTTTTCTCTTTCCAGACAACCACTCAAAGCCAACAACAGCCCTTGATGAATAAATCCAATGATGATCTAAGAAGAAAACGCCCCGAATCCACAAGGCCAAATCACATTTTGCTGTTCACCATCATAAATCCATTCTATCCGATTACAGTTGTAAGTAGACAATTTTCATGTTGTTGTTGTTCGTTTTTACTATTATTTTTATTTTAAAAGTAAACTAGAAAAAAAACAAAAACCTTTAACATGGTGGGTGGGAAGTAACTGAAATAATGGTGATTTGAAAAAATCCGGTAAGACAGACAAATGACAGCCAGCACCATTGAATTGTTGTTGTTGCAACGTGCAACAACCTTTTTGACTAGCTCTTGGGTTATTTTTTACGGATATACATATACAATTTTGTTTTGTTTTTGTTGTTGGTTGTTGTGTCAGTCGCTTGCCTCTGGTCGTCAGTTTCCGCCTGGCAAGGAGGATATAAAAACAACAGTTCTTCTTCTAAGGGTACAATAAAGCAAAAGCAACGACCCACTCAAGTACTTAAGTGTTACACTGGCACTTGAACAGCAACAATAAGTGCAACCAACAACAACAAAAAGCAATAATCCTGCAAACAACAATTTGGTGACAATTTTGTATTTTTTTTTGTTTCTTCAAACATAAGGGCTTTTTGAACAGGGTGAATCGTATATTTGAGTGTGTGTCTATGTGTCTGTGTTTTGTGGCAACATTTAAATGCATAACAAATCTAGGTGTGAAAGACACAACCATTCAGTAATGTTTAGTTAAACGTGCCTGGAACAACCGCAACCCTCTCGCTCTCCACTCGAAGTGTGAAAACAATGCGTTTATTCTTGAACGGGTGTTTTCCTTTCCAGACCCGTCTCTTGGCCATAAAAAAATCCACATCATGAATTTCCATTACCACAGAAAAACGTGTGCCAAATAGGATCACAAAATTGCCCTCCCCTCCTTCCTTACCTTCCTTGCCTCCTCATCCTCTTTTGGCCAGCATTACTAGGTGGTGTAGAACCTAGATAAACTTTACTTCCTTTTAGCCACAGCAAAAACAATAGAGCCAACAAAAAATTGAGGACTACAACGACGAAATCTGTTTTACACTTCTCATGAACACAGAAGAAGAACACAAAAAATTGAAAACTAAGTAAACTGGAAGAAGAAGCAGCACAACATCCTTAAATGGATTATTTTTTACAACACACTGATGCTGAATTATGGCAAGTTAAGGATGTTGTAAAAGAGAGAACGAACGAAAAAACATGACACCGGCAGCAAATTGTTGCAAGTTGTTGACTTAACTGTTACATGATTCTTCAAACGTCTTGCACTGTATTTTTTGGGTGGATGATAGTTTTTTTTTTGCTCGTGGATTCCGTCTGGAGTCTTGTTAAACATATTTTATGTTTCTTTTTTGGCAGAACAACAACTGTCTCACAAAACTTTTGCAAGAGGACAATTTTTATTGATCGAGGAATTTTAACCAGGGGACCTGAGGAATTTTTTTCTATAGAAAAAGCACATCTCAGTGGCCTGAGAAACGTGGGACGTGATGATTTTTTTCTATAGATAACAGACACTTCAGTGGCCTGGAATTCAGGAATTTTATTCAGGAATTTTATTTCTATAGAAAAAAGACAGCTCAGCGGCCTGAGGAATTTTTTTTCTATAGAAAAAAAGACACCTCAGGGACCTGAGGATTTTTTTTCTATAGAAAAAAGACACCTCAGAGACCTAAGGAATTTTTTTCTATACAAAAAAAGACACCTCAGGGCACTGAGGAATTTTTTTTCTACAGAAAAAAGACACCTCAGGGCACTGAGGAATTTTTTTTCTATAGAAAAAAGACACCTCAGTGGCCTGAGGAATTTTCTTAGGGTCCTCAGCGGTCTAAGAATTTTTTTATTAAGAAAAAAATCGATTTTTACATTGAGGAAATATTTTGTCGAACGAAATTTAATTCATTATTGAAAGGTGTTTCTCTCAATAACACCTTTCCTTCCGAATCTCTGTCACATTTTCTATGTCAATATTAATGACAAAAAATCGCAAAACCGCCACTTATACACCACAACAAAAATCTGAAATGTGGTTTTTCTGATGCCAGAGGTTTTTCCTCATATTTGTCATCGGTTTTGTTTTATTTTTTCCTATTTTCTTTGTTTTCACAAATAAGTTTCAATTTCTAATTTGGTTTCGTTTTTACGAAAAACAAAACCGAAAAACAAATATTTACAGTTGATTATTGCTCGGTGTCTGTCTGTTTGTTTGTATTGCTGTGGTTCGGTGTGAAATTGAAAACGTTTGACATTGAAACTCGTTATTACCTTGCCGCGTACATAGGAAAACAAATATAATAAATGCAATTTTTAAATTTCAATTATTACAGAAAAATAAAATTTAGATTGAAATAAATTAGTAGGTGAAGAAGAGACTGGAAAGACACAAACTTGCTTTTGAAACAGATTTTTTGGACATTGGAGTGCCGAAATATAAAGATTTTAGCAAATGGACCATAGTGCGTATATATGGTGACAACACGTATACGCACCCCTTAACATGATCAATACTCCTTAAATTTTCTCATCTATAAAGAGTTGTGGAATTAAAATTCTATAGCTTTTCTTTTAATTATGCTACAGTAACTAATTGTCCTTAATAGATCTTTTGAAGATATTTTTCCTATACTCAAGAGTATCTGCCAAGGTGTTCTACTGCTATTTTTTTCCTGGAATTTTAAAACTGTATTTTGTGCAATTTATTTAGTTTTACCTTCAAATCCATTTCCATTTACAAGTTGTGAGTAATATGTTAACTTTTCCCTTTTAATTTTTATTCCCCCCTGTACAAACTTTTTAATGGCATTGCTGGAAAACTAAGACAGTTTGTCAATTTAAAATAACAACCCTGGTTGGTTAATTGCAAAACTTTCAAGGGAGGGAAAGAAACCGCAAACTTTGCCTCAAGATAACAAATAAGTTACTCGAACATTGACATATTGCAAATATTTGTCATTTACTTTGGAAAAATAAATTTTTGGGGAAATGGTTTTTTTCTACATTTGGCAATAAATTCAAAACTAGGGAAATTTAAGAAGAAAATATCAGCAAAAGTGTATGAAAATAGTTTTAAGGGTCAGATAAATCCCTAGACCTTTAAACCTTTAGAAAAAACTCCTAAGACCTTTGAGTTGTCTTTTTTCTATAGAAAAAATTCCTCAGACCTCTGAGGTGTCTTTTAAATTAATATTTGTTCATTAGTACCACATGGCATATAAGTATTATGTATACGCTCTTATTAATTGGAGCGTATACTTAATGACACCACTTATACGCACCCCGGGGGTTAATATTAAAAAAATTTCCTATTTTCCATGAAATATTTTAAAATTCTGAATCTCTTTTCCTCATTATTGATAATTTTGTTTAATCAAGGCAATTTTATTTAAATTTTTTTTTTTTGGTTCGCCGAACAACCAATATATCTGCATATTAAGCCACCAGATATTAGCCATAACCCAAACAACCACTTAAAACAAACTCCAGCCAACAGACTAACAATGCCAAAAAATATTGGAGAAAAAAAAACCCCTCAAAATGCCTGCAGGATGACTATGATGTTGAATGAATGTTTCAAACTAGAAGAAGAAGCATAACTAATGGTGTTCGGACGGATATTTGCCGGGTCTAATAGACATCTGCTGCTGCAATCTGTCGGTGAGGCTGTACGTCCAACTTTCGGCATAGCAAACGATGAACTCTTTACAATGGACTTGTCCATGTAGTAGCACATCAAAAAAGAGTTATGAGTTTTTTGTCCCCTAAAAAACAAAGTTTTTTTTGGCAATAGAAGTTTTTTTGTTGAGGACTCTTTTGCATCCAATATCAAACTCTGCTTTTGGCCATTATCAGTTTGCAATAATCATTTTTGTGTTTGGACAAATTTCAAGCAAAAAACTGAATATGTTTATTAAGTTTGGCAAAAAACCGAACTTGGCAGTCTCCAATAACCAATGCCAAGGCTTAAATTTCGTTGAGTATTTTTAAATATTTCTCTACTCTGCCATAGAAGTACACAATCCGAGCACCTAAAAGGGGGAGGAGTGAAGGTAGGGTAGGTATATCATTATGAAAATGATGTCATTATTAATAAGCCATTGAAATGAGCAGAAAATTCAATGACATACTTGATTTGCTGGCTGGCAAGCAACCTATGCTGCAATGCCATGTCATTTTATGCTGCCTCTTCTCTGAAATTAAATCGTAGGTTCCTGACTCTGTAGCATAGGAGTTTTGCCAGCCAGCCTGACTGCCTGCCTTGGCTCTTCATTAAATATGCTTACAATTAGATTAGAGAGGAGAGAGTAGAATTCCTCATCCCACTCATCTATGTATGTCATGCCTGAATGCTTGATTAACTAAGTGATTGAAGTTCGTTACCACCAAACCGAACCCCATAAAACCCCCTCTCATAACCAAACCCACCTATATATGATAATGTCTGGGTCTTCCTCATCACCATATAATCATGTGTGTGCGATGTGGTGACTCTTTAATATGCAAACTAACACATAATAACTCTCTTTATGACCATGATTGTCATATGGACTCGGAGATAAACACAGATATATACATTATTAGCTCCCTATTTCGCAACGAGGATGGAGGAAGTAATTTCAAGAAAATTTCTTGCAATAATATTTTTGTAAGTAACGCCAACCCTGAAAATTCCCAAAGAATTTAACAACCTCTATTGCTCTGTGGGTGCCACACGAAAAGAGTCTCTTTCAATACTAATATAGTTTTAAGAGAATTTGTGATTTGGTCCTTCGACATCAGACAGCAGACGATTCTAGACGATTTTTTTCTATAACAATTTTCTTCAGATTCGCTGAATGTGACTTGAGAAAACTGTTGTAGTTTTCTGATCCAGAGGATTTTTTATAGAAAAAACTGTCCTCCTGTTCCTGGCGAATCTTTTCTTTAAGGACCACAGTTCCACTTTTTGTATAGTTTTCCTCAGGAGACCTGAGGATTTTTTTCTATACAAAAAAGTGATTCTGTGGTCCACAGGAATTATTTCTATAGACAAAAAAAGTACTCCGGTGGGCCACAGACATTTTTTCTATAGGAAAAAATTCCTCTGGGTCAGAGGAGTACATTTTTCTGTAGAAAAAATGCCTGTGACCCACTGGACTACTTTTTGTATAAAAAAAATCCTCAGGCCAACCTGAGGTGTCTTTTTCTATAGAAAAAAAAATCCTCAGGTCCCCTGAGGTGTTCCTTTTTCTATAGAAAAAAAATTCCACAGGTCCCCTGGGTTGTCTTTCTTCTATAGAAAAAAAAATCCCCTGAGGTGTTCCTTTTTATATTAAAAAAAATCCTCAGGTCCCCTGAAGTGTTCCTTTTTCTATACAAAAAAATCTCAGGTCCCCTGAGGTGTTCCTTTTTCTATAGAAAAAAATTCCTCAGGTCCCCTGAGGTGTTCCTTTTTCTATAGAAAAAATTCCTCAGGTCCCCTGAGGTGTTCCTTTTTCTATAGAAAAAAATTCCTTAGGTCCCCTGGGGTGTTCCTTTTTCTATAGAAAAAAATTCCTCAGGTCCCCTGAGGTGTTCCTTTTTCTATAGAAAAAAATTCCTCAGGTCCCCTGAGGTGTTCCTTTTCCTATAGAAAAAAATTCCTCATGTCCCCTGAGGTGTTCCTTTTTCTATAGATAAAAATTCCTCAGGTCTCCTGAGGTGTTCCTTTTTCTATAGAAAAAATTCCTCAGGCCCCCTGAGGTGTTCCTTTTTTCTATAGAAAAAATCTTCAGGTCCCCTGAGGATTTTTTTTCCTATTTTCCTCCCTCGTATCTTGTGTATATGTGTTTTTGTATGTATGTGTGTGTGTCAGGACACACATGCATTTGATGCATTAAATATTATCTGTACATTTTGCATTTCTCTATTATTGCACCCCAACCTCCAGACAGGAGACTACCAGACAACCAGATGACAGATCGGCCAGTTTTCATAATGGACAAGCCATGCCAAGTCCCCACTCATCCCAACCTAACTTTTCTGCCAAGATATGTCTATTTGATGGGTAATAATGGCATGAGTTCACGGTCCAATGAGTCTTTTGAGTAGCATACCATCGGGTCTAAGGACGAAGGAGAACGAATCGGATGGACGGACATCTAATGTTTACCCAATAATGCCGATATGCCGAGTGATGGTGGTGTGGTGTAAACTAAAATGATAGCTAACCTCCAAGCATGTAAGGATGGCTGGCTGACGGGGTGAATGATTATTGAGTGTTGGATGTCACAGATAAATGACATGCATGGGATGGATCTGGCCTGGGGAGATCTTCTCCTCCTGATGTGCAAAAGTATGTAATGCCTTTTGTTGTTGTTCAAGTTATCGATATGTGAATGCATTCTGCATTGATGCTTCTGTCATTTAACAATCTAATGCTTGGTTGGTATTGGAAAGGAGAGGAAGCAGAGGCAGAGACAGCAGGCTATTGCTAACATATTCTATAGATTTCCGATTATGCTGACTGCCTGCAATCAATGCTCTTTTTTATTTCGAAGCTGCCATCGATGTGTAAGGCAGTCTGCCAGTGGCTGAATGTTTGGCCTGTATCATTGATTACCAGTGATGGCGCTGGTGGTAGTTCGGTTTTGCTGCCGATCCTGATACCCATTGAATGTCGCCTTCTGATGGCGCTCTCTATGTGTGTGTGAGTGTGCCTGTTTTGTGTTGTGTGTGATATGTCTTCATATGTCAAGTGTATGACATTTTTGACATTCTGTTGATTTTTCCAGTAGTTGAACAGACATAATCACTATGGCCTTTTTTTTCGTTTGGTGTGGTGGTACTAAAATCGACCTCCTGCCTTCATCCTCCAAGCATATAGTGGGTGTGTGGATCGGCTATTGTTTATTTATTTTCTTGCTGCCTGGCTGCATGCCTTTCAATGTGCAGCTCCTCTGCCTTTTTCATTTATTCAGCATCGTCTTTCAGGTTTCTTTCCGGGGAAATTTGTAAGGGAAGAGGAGGAGATCGAAGTATGTGGGGTTGGGGGATCTATGTATAAATCACAAAAATGAACTATGCCTTAATTTAGTGGTCTGGAGGGGAGGGTGGGAGTTGAGTAGTACCAGTAAATCATGTAAACTACATGGCTGGCGTTGTGCATCATATTTCCGTCTAATGGCTCAAGGGGCTCGAAGTTGGTATGTGTGTGTTTGCGAAGGCTCTGGCAGCCAAGGAAATTCTGACGTTGATGAGTGCGTTTTCTTTTTTTGTTCGGGTATTGAATTTCAAAGGATGTTTTTAAACAAATATTTACCTTCCTTAACATCATTGTGTGGAGACGATTGTCATCATCAGGGTGATGGATGAGGGTTAAGGGTGTGGTGGGCACCTAGGTGAGAGTGTTTGTTTTTTTTCTGGAGTCCCAACATGTGTTAAATGTAAAGATGAACACAAAAAACTGTCATGGAAATCCATCAAAATTCCGAACTATTTTTGGAAGAGGGAGACGATATGGAGGGAAGTATTCATTTTATTTTCTCTAGAAACCTTTTTAAACCCTCCCCAACCTTTTTAAAGGTCCCACAATTTTTTTCTGTTATTTTCATTTTCCATAAATCATTTTATTTATTTTTTTTGGCTACTGTACATTTCACGTTGAAAGCGGATTCCCAGGGATTTAATTGAGTTTTCACTGCATTCCAGCAATGGAGCCAGCCTCCTTATTCCAGCCGACTTTTTTTCCGAACCCTCTATTGTATGGCATTTCGGGCAATAAAGAATTAAATTTTTATTACAATATTTCTCTATGCATTTTTTCCATAGCAAATATATATTTTTTTGCATTTTGGAGTTCTGCATCGGCCAGCACCATCTCTGGAAATTGCCATTTTGTTGTATAGCTATTGTTGTTGTGATGTATATCCATATAAAAATAACAAATATCCACTTGGTTTGGTTGGGTTTTTATTATGATTTCCCAGGCTGGCCCAGGGACACATCCATCCAGCAGCCAACCATACACCATCCAACCAAAACCATTACCACGGTCATCCATTCATCCGACTACCTCCACCACCACCATGCCAGTTATGTTCTACCATGCATATATAACTATACCGCAGATGTTGTGTAGCTTTTCATGTCCAAAATTCCAGTCGAAACCAAGTCAATCTCTCAGGCCTAGATATATTTGAAACATGGACAGTGGGACATAGTAACTTTTAGTATATAAAAAATCTATTCCACATGGCCTAAAGAATATTTTTCTATAGAAATAAGACACTCAGGGGCCTAAGGATTTTTTCCTACAGAAAAAGACATCTCAGGGTCCTGCGGAATTTTTTCTACAGAAAAAAGACACCTCTGGGGACCTGAAGATTTTTTCTATAGAAAAAAGACTCTTCAGGGTGCTGAAGAATTGTTTCTATAGAAAAAAAGACACCTCTGGGGATTTGAAGATATTTTTCTATCGATAAAGGAACAACTCAGGGATCTGAGGATTTATTTTCTATCGAAAAAGGAACACCTCAAGGGACCTCAACCTCAGCGAGGTTGAGGAATTTTTTCTATATAAAAAGACACCTCAGCGAGGTTGAGGAATTTTTTCTATAGAAAAAGACACCTCAGCGGGGTTGAGGAATTTTTTTCTATAGAAAATTACACCTCAGCTGGGGTGAGGAATTTTTTTCTATAGAAAAAGACACCTCAGCGGGGCTGAGGAATTTTTTTCTATAGAAAAAGACACCTCAGCGGGGCTGAGGAATTTTTTTTATAGAAAAAGACACCTCATAGAAAAAGACACCTCAGCGGGGCTGAGGAATTTTTTTCTATAGAAAAAGACACCTCAGCGGGGCTGAGGAATTTTTTTCTATAGAAAAAGACACCTCAGCGGGGCTGAGGAATTTTTTTCTATAGAAAAAGACACCTCAGCGGGGCTGAGGAATTTTTTTCTATAGAATAATACACCTCAGCGGGGCTGAGGAATTTTTTTCTATAGAAAAATACACCTCAGCGGGGCTGAGGATTTTTTTTTCTATAGAAAAAGACACCCAGCGAGGGTGTGGAATTTTTTTTCTATAGAAAAAGACACCTCAGCGAAGTTGAGGAATATTTTATATAGAAAAAGAAACACCTCATGGGACCTGAGGAATTTTTTCCTATAGAAAACGGAATACCTTAGGGGACTCGAGGATTTTTTTTCTATAGAAAACGGAAATCCTCAGGGGACCGGAAGAATTTTTTTCTGTATAATTTTCTAGTCCCTCAGGGAACTTGAGGATTTTTTTTTATGAAAAAAGTCGCCCTCGACTAGTGCATTTTTTCCTATAGAATAAAGTCATCCTCAGGGTATCTGATGAATTTTTTTTCTATAAACAGACATCTCAAGAACCTGAGGATATTTTTGCTATAGAAAGATACTGGCCTCAGGGACCTGAGACTTTTTTCTATAGATCCATGAGGTCTTCCTCTGCTCCTTCCACTGTGAACTGCCCATGTCTTCCTTCGTCCACCTCCTTGCTGCCATTATTTTATTTTATGCTGCACAAATATGACTGGTGTTGGAGGAGGGGGTGGAGAGGGGGAGCTGAAAAGCCATTTTAAAATGCATTCACTTATTTTTTGGTGGATATTTTGTGGTTACAATTTTCCCTGTTGTCGTTATCATTGATGGCGTTTTTTTGTGCTGCTCGTCTTTTGCCTCGTATTATTTCGTTTAATGTTTTTCTGTTGTTGTTATTGTTGGCCATAAAGCAGCCGCCAGGAAGCACAATGATGCATTTGCATATTGTTGTATGCTGCATCGTTCGCTCGCTCGTTCCTTTCTCTCTTTGTTAATAATTTAATAATTCGCCGGAGGGATGGGGGAGGGGGTCGGGCGGCCAGGAGGACCACCAAATAAATTGTTAAATACATTCATTATTCAACGATAGTTTTCACAACTTTTGAAAAATTAAATCAAACCGACACAACAGAACAGCAGCTAAGGTAGAAATAATGCAATGATGTTGGGAGTAGAATAGCATGAGCAGAGAGGGGTGCCGCGGGGAGTTGGAATAATAAAAGAAAAAAAACTATATATAACTAAATTAAATTGTTATATATATTCGTGAATTAATTTACTTTGGGAATGGTGTTTTAAATAAATTGATATAATATTTTTATTATTTATTATTATTTTGAACACAAAAAAAAATCTGATTAAATTATTATCACACGCAAAGAGAGATGATGGATGACGAGAATAAAAAACAGATTTTTATATATGAAATTGAATTTATTTTTTTTATTGCCTGTGTGTTTTTTCGATATCATATTTAATTTCCTGTATTAAATTGATACACTTTTTTCGTATTAAAATAATAAACATATATTAATTTTCGTCGCAGTAGTCCTTTTTTCTATAGAAACAAATTTCTCTGGGCCAGAGAACTAGTTTTTTTATAGAAAAAAATCCTCCGGGCCAGAGGAGTTCTTCTTTCTAATGAAAAAAATTCCTCTGGGAATTAACTACTTTTTTCTATAAAAAAATCCTCTGGTCTCGAGGAGTACCTTTTTCTATAAAAAAATCCTTTAACCCAGAGGACTACTTTTTTCTGCAAAAAGGAATTCCTCTGTCCCAGAGGCCTCCTTTTTTCTATAGAAAAAAATTCCTCAGGGCCAGAGGCCTCCTTTTTCTATAGAGAAAAATTCCTAAGGGCCAGAGTCCTCCTTTTTTCTATAGAAAAAAATTCTCTGGGCCAGAGGACTACTTTATTCTATAGAAGAAAATCCTAATGACTATTCCATTAAAACTGAATAAATAATACTTTTCAAAAGTCCCTGTTCATTAAAGGATAATTTGTTTTCCGATTTCTATTTTTCTTTGAATTCTTGAATGTATGAATAAAATATTTACATTTTTTCGACATTAACTATTGTCAGAGTAGAGTCAACTACAGTGTGTAATTGTAGTAGTTTCAATACTAAACCAAACTATTGACTCAAATATCGTTATGAAACCAAACAGAAAAAGGGATATTTAGAAAGGCAGGCAGGCAGTGTGGGAGGAAGGGAGAGAGG